TTATGATCAAGTCAGTGGCTTTTTTTGATAATTATATAAGTTTCAAATGATAGTTTTGAACGATGAATACTTTTCAAGCTATAATTTAAAAAAATGTAATTTTGAGTGATTATGCCTTATGAGAAAGTTTGAGTTTGAAGTTGTTCAAAAATAATCCTGACTTTAAACATATACAAATAACTGATTTTGGATGGGTGTGGTGGCTCATGCCTGTAATCCCAGCACTTTGGGAGATTGGGGCAGGTGGATCACCTGAGGTCAGGAGTTCGAGACCAGCCTGACCAACATGGTGAAAACCTGTCTCTACTAAAAAATACAAAAAAAAAACCTGATCATGGTGGTGGGTGCCTGTAATCCCAGCTACTCGAGAGGCTGAGGCAGGAGAATTTCTTAAACCTGGGAGGAGGAGGTTGCAGTGAGCCAAGAACGTGCCATTTCACTCTAGCCTGGGCAACAGAGCAAGAGTCTTCCCCGCCGCCCCATATATATATATATATATATCCAAATAACCATTTTTAAATAATACTGTCAAATCAGAAAAGTTCTAGAAAATCTGATACCCTGAAGTAGAGGACTTAATGTGCACATATCCAGCATTCCCATCATTTTATAAAGTCATTCCCATCATTTTATAATTTTGATTTCTTGTTGCAGAACAGAAAATAAATTTACTGTCTAAGTAAGTTTGTAATGGCTCAAACATTTGGACTTTGTACTGGTGTTTTGGAGTAAAACAGTTATCACCTTTCTAGAGGTGTTTCTACTGACTTCCTAGAGAACATTCTCAGTAACTGGAGGCTTTATCTCCATCAGTCTTATTTACAAAAGTCCTAAGCCCAAAGTTGTTTCCAGTGGCCTGGCATCCTAGGAGTTCACCTGATCTGTTGGGCAGAGACATTTCAAACTCGGGGAACATATGATGGGAATTTAGTTTTATGTGTCCCAAAGATATTTACTTCTCTTTGAAGGTTTTACTTGATAATAGCTATGCCCCAGAAAACCATCTTGTTTAACCAATGTGATAAGTTGACAATGTAGTTTTTCTCTCTGATTATAATGTACTCTGTGTAGTCAATACACTGGTACCATGTGAGTGTAATTTCCTCTTTTATTTTATCTCCAATGCACTGTATTATAAATAAACAGTTAAAAAAAACACCAAACAAATCTGTTGCATCTCCTTTTAAGATTGTACCACTGTAGACACTTGTTCTAGTAAAGTAGAATTGGGCGCATTTGATTGCATTTAAATTTTTCATGCTTCAGCAGTTTGGCTGGGAGCACAGTAAAGAAAAATCCCATGAGCGAGGATAGTTTAGAATAATAGAACTTGATTTTGTGTATTATAGCGGCAACATTTGCGCTGCTTTAGTTAGGGTTGTGTCAGCACTTCCATTATAAACCCCTGTTTTCAGGGGGTATAACTAGGGAGATTTTTTTTTAATACAAATTAAAAAAACAATTCATTTGAATGATTTTTAAGTTATAATAGTGCAAAAATAAAACAAAGTAAAGTCACATCAAAATTGACCATTTCTACAAGGGTTTTGATTTTCTTTTGCTTATTAGTTGTGTAAGGCAGCAGCTAGAGTAAGGTACTGTGGGGATGAAAATTTTTGCTATGGAAAATTACTGATTGAGTATTAAAATAAGTGTAAGCAATCCACATGACATTTAAAAACACTGAAACAAGGGTATATTTGATTTATGAGCTTCTAAAGGAGAGTAGCTATGGTACAGCGGTTATAGTAAAGGCATTATCTAAAGTCAAGTGTTGTTGAAGCTTCTAGCATACAGGTTGGTTGGTCTAGTAAAACGTTTTAAAGGGGAAAGCTCAGGTAAAGACAGGAATGAAATGTCATCAGGATTATTTAATAAAGTAATTATGCAAAAATCAGTGAGTCAGATCTAATAATCAGCAAATCTAAAGTTTATTTAATAAACTCTGCATTTATTTGTGCACATTTCATAAAATCTCAAAATCACCACCCAAAGCAAACAAAAATCAACAACAAAACAAAAAATAAAAAAAAGGATGTAAACAAAAAAATCCCAACAATTTTATCAAAAGGAAATGCTTAAGGAAATACCTTTGGTCTTTTAAGAACAAAACCCATCCTTTTCTCCACTAGCAATGCATTTGGGAACTATAATAAAGTAAAAACAAGAAATTAAATAAAATATGATTTGGAAAAATATTCTTGGAGCCAAAAATATTGATTTCTTTGCTAAAGAAAGGGATTTTAAAATTGAATGTGTTTTCCTTGATTGTTGTCCTACCTCTCCTGTCTCCTTTTCCTCTAACGATGGTGTGAACTGAGGATGAACAGTCAAGAGTTAATATTGCTTTTTTTGGCAGCTTATGTTTTATCTGCAGTCTTGATACACATGTGTATTTGTAGGTGCAAAATAAAAGACAAATTGTGTGATGTTATAAATAGGTAGGATTCTTGAATGGTCACTGGAGGAATCACCAGAAGACTGTTGATGAAGTAGAGGTGAAGCCTTTCCTCTCTAATTGTATTCAGCGTGTAATTTCTAAACTTCCCTCTGAATTTTGATTTTCAATTAACACTCCCCATTTGAAGATAATTTTCTATTTAATGTAATTGCAGGAAATAATTTATTGGCTGATTAAGACTGAAGACCCAGCCTTCCTTAAGAAAACATTCTAACAAACCATCCTTTAAACTCAACTCAGAGATTTAGTCTATTTTTACAGCTGCAGAGTTGTGTTTAATTAGGACTGCGCACTATTGTTCACTGGTGCAGTTTATAGTTGAAATTATTCTTAAGAGACTGTTTTCATTTTGTTTTTTTTCATGATTAATTTATACAAATGAACAATCATAGACATTGCTGTTGGAAGGAGCCGATTCACTTTATAGTAAGAGGATGTTTGTTGAAGGAACTAAAGTCACTGATTTTTGGATCATCACTTTCAATTGTATTTAACTATTTTAAAAAGCAGAAGTAAATTCATTCTTTTGTTTCTAGCATAAATGATTATCGAAGTTTTCAGTATTATACTATGAAATCACTCTTGTTTGTGGCAAGCTCTTGATAAACTTGCAGAACAGTTATTATTTGCCTGGTTTTACTAATAGTAGTTATGGGGCCAGTAAAGTAAGCCATATAGTAATTCTCTTATACTAAGAGGCATACTTTGGCTACTTTTTTCATAATCATATATATGTTTGTTCATTTGTTAGTATTGATATAAATTGGTCAAGAATATATTTGTCTGATTTACTGATATAGCACTCTTTAGAACATTTAATTCATTTCTCCTCAAATCATAGGCATGCTTTTGCATTCCCTTTCCCCCATTTTATTTTCTAGTATCAAATTTAATAGATATAATTTTTACTAGTTGTAGAATGATTATTATAAGTAGGTATCAGCATTTTAATATGTTTCAAAGCACTTCAAAAGCTTGTAATACTTTTATTTAGAACTGTGCATAATTAGATTAGCTGATCTTATATTAATTTTTTTCACTGTAGGATACTAAATCTGAGCCCCCTCATTAATTGTGAGAAATTTAGCATTAGCTGTTAAATCCTATGTGAAACATGGGCTGCTACATAAAAACTACTGTTTAAATTGGAATTAACTTAATTATTTTTCTTTGCACTTGATATTTCCTTCACTGCAATATTCATGAAAGCATGTGACAGATTTGTAAATTTAACTGTTAATCTCAGATTTCTAGACCCTTTAATCAGTATTTATTTGTCTGTAGAAACAGTACTAGCAAGTTAATGATTTGCTAATTTGAAAAATGCTCATGTGGTTTCCTATGTTAACTGATTTGTGCATTTTTTAAAAAAATGGTATGAAATCAATTAATGTTAAATAGCAATTAAGGTGGAGATTTTATTCCTTTCATTACACAGCAGTTTTAGAGCTAAAGATGCAATAAACCAAAAACAATGTAAAGTTTTGGAAAAAAATATTCAATTGCCTCTGTTAAGTTGTTAAGTTTCAGTCATTTTATTTTCTAACCATTTTGCTAAGAAATTCATTTTGATAAAGTGATATTCTAAACATTTTGAAATTCCACTTAATAGCCATGGTTTTCTGATTTTATATGAGAGCACAGAACGGAGACCTTGTCATGCAGAGTGTAGTCGATGTTTATTTGTGAGCATATAAATGAATGTTCAGCATTGTTTTTGGAGGTTTTGAATATTATACACAGTAGGCATTTTACTATTTTTATAGTAAATGTTTTGAATCTTGTTTGTACTTTCTAATATAAAATAGAGGCATAACTATTTCAGATACTCAATTCAAATACTACAAAATTGCCTTAAAACTAATTTAACAGTATCAGCCACTCAATCAGTATGTCATTTAAAAGTTAAGTTACAGTTGACTCATTTTAAAGGTCTTTTAAAAAGCTTTAGATGGCACTAAGTAGTGCTAGGCCCAGCCCTCATAATACAAGGTGTAAACAAAGAAGTCAGGATCAGATTTACTTAGGACTTTAATTATGAATTATTTACTCTCCTGATTATATTTTCCTACATATGCTTCTTTTGTTCCTACATAAACCATAGGGGAAAGTTGGACATTTGTGCTTTTAAATCATCTTGCAAACTAACTCATTTACCAGTTCATTCATTCATTTTTTTTTCATTGCTATCACCTTAAATACTCTCAAGAAGCTTATAATCTAGTCAAGAAAACTAGGAGGAAAAAAATATATATACATACTCTGTCCATTATGGAAACTTATTCTGTAAAAAAAAATCATTAATGGATTGTCAGAGAGAAAATATGCAGTAAGTACTGGGAAGGGGTTTGCTGAGTTAAGAGCAAAGAGGGAAAGGAAGGCACATAAGCTGAGTTCTTTTTCAGGGGTTTAGAGTGGACCATAAATATCTCTAAAGTTAAATAACTTTCCTTTTTTCCTGAACTAGTCAAATGCAAGGGATGGTTTACTCTTTTGTTATTGACAGCCATTTTTAATCCATTCTGTTTTCCTTCTGCAGAAGAATGTCTTCCAAGCAAGCCACCTCTCCATTTGCCTGTGCAGCTGATGGAGAGGATGCGATGACCCAGGATTTGACCTCAAGGGAAAAGGAAGAGAGCAGTGATCAACATGTGGCCTCCCATCTGCCTCTGCACCCCATAATGCACAACAAACCTCACTCTGAGGAGCTACCAACACTTGTCAATACCATTCAACAAGATGCTGACTGGGACAGCGTTCTGTCATCTCAGCAAAGAATGGTGAGCTTTTAAAATCTGACCACTGCTACTAAGTGCATTCCTTAGTACGTCCTCATTATAAATAGATGTTTTAGGGAAATAGATGACCTTAGAGTTGTTTGTGTTTAGATCATGAAATGACTCCCAGGTACATAGTACTAAGATACTAATAACTGGAAAAACTTGAAAAATGGTTTGTGATTTAGTGTATATATGTTCATTATTAGGCCAATGTGCGAAAAGATATTTTATTGATTGATTTTTTTGTGGGAGGATTGGTTATCTTATTCTATCAACCCATGAATTTAAGGTGATTAACTTGGTAACAGCACAAAATCAGTATGATCAAATAAAGGATGCCTATGTATTAATATTGAAAAATGTAATTAAGCAAATATGTGTGCATGAGGTAATATGTTGACTACATTGTCAATGAGAAAATTCAGGTATTTATCAATTTTAATGATCATTCTTGATTTATAATAAGGCTTTTCTCGCTTACATGCCTGTATATTAATTTCAAAAGGGCATGCAAACCTCGTTAGAATCATTCAATCAGACTACTGGAGTTTTCTCAAAAAGTAGAAACAACATCAAATACGTGCAGTATATTAGCCAGCTTTCCTATGTTAAATTCCATCTCTAACCATCAAAACAGAAACCATAGTAAGTGACATTAATTATCTAGTTTAAAGCAAAAATATTCAACTTTTTAGCATCTAGAAGAGGTTAAAATGTTAATATAATTTATTAGATTAGAAGTTTTAAATCCTGTTTTGCATTTCTTAATTTTTGGCTAACAAAAATTGTTAACAAAAAATATTTTAAGTGGGCACTGAGAAAATTTGTATTTCATAACATAAACAAGGTGATATTTATAATGCCTTTACTACTAATAACAGATAATTAAATTCTTATTCAATGCTTTATGTCTCAGAGACTTAATTGAGTAGTTTACGAAGGCAGACATTTTTCTTTTCCACACAATTTTGCAGACATAACCAGTGCTCTGGAGCAGTAGGTGAGAAGCAAAAGATTGAAAGATAGTTTCTGGACTAATTTTAGTTTTGAAGGGGATCAAAACTGTACAATTAAATTCACTGGAAGATTTATTTTTCCTGAGTAGGAAGAAGGTAATAAAGTGAGACTGCTTTTCTGATTGAGCTTAAGTTGTTCATTTTACACCTCCAAAGTGAAATAGATATCCAGTCACTGCTACTTGCTTATTGGCAAGATAATGGAGCTAAGTTTCATTTTTATTTCAGCAAATGTTTATTGAGTATCAACTATGTGTCAAGCATTCTATTAGGTCCTGACTAGTGCTGAACAGAGCAGACATGATTCATGCCTTCATGGAGTTTATAGTCTAGGAGAGGAAATAGAAATTAAATAAATATACACATAAACACATAATTAAAATTGTGATATGTGCTATGTATGAGATGAAAGAACAGAATGCTATGTGAGAACATAATGGGGCAAACCTAATTTAGAATACATAGTTAGGAATGCCCTCACTGAGCCAAGGATGGTAAGAACTAACCAGGTAGAGAGGAAGAATAGTAAAAATGCAGAGAGAACAGCATGTATGAAGTATTTGAAGTTACTGCTTAATTTTACAAAGTAAAAGATGGCCTTTGTCACTGGAGAGTTATGACTGAGGTTGAATATAGCATAAGATATAGTTGGAGAGACTGGTAGGGGCTGTATCAAACAGGACCTTGGAGATAGCATTATGGATGTGAGATTTGATCTTAGTTCATTGAAAAACATTTGAAGCATTCAAAAACATTTCAGACAGATAAATTCTGGCTGTGATATAATAAATGGATGGGAGAGAGACAAGAGTGAAAGAAGGAAGACCCATTGGGAGTTTATTTCAGAAATTTAGGTGAGAGATGAGGGGCTTGGTTTAGTGTAAAGGAAGAGTGGCTAGAGAGAAAGGATAGGTTTAAGATATATTTTGGCTTTGACAAATAAAAGTAACTACACTGGAAAATATGGGTAGAAGGAGAAATAATACAGTTCAAATTTTATTTCCTTGAGAACACGATACTTATTTTTCCAAGAAAAATTTTGTTTGTGTCTTGAAAAGTGCCAAGTTGCTTTGGTGCATTATTCTCAAACTTTTATGATCTAAAATTTCATCTTAAAATATATATTAATAATTTTCCAACCAAATTTATATTACATGTGATTTATGATAGTGTAAAGTGGTTTAATGGTACAAATAAGTGATATATTAATGTAAAAGAAATCATACCTGCTAGACATGTTTTCAAACTTTCACTTTCCTTTGCTATCAAGTATTGGTTTGCACTGGAGCCTTTGTGTATTCCGAATGACTGGAAGCCAAAATATTTTGTTTTAACTCCCACTCTATAGTATTTCCCAGCTGTGTACTTATATGGTGTAATAAAAGGATTTAACAAATGGGAAATAGCAGCTGCATTTGGAAATTCCCTTTGTGCTTCTTTTTCACTGGATAGATTCAATAATGTGTAACAATTGTAACATCAGACCTGTAATGATTTATACTGTTAATATCACATCACTAACCAATTTTTCTTTACAGGAAAAAAAACCAATAGAAGGATTTTAGGTTTTTGGGCAGACCTGCAAAACTACATATGTATTGTGTGTGTATGTGTGAATGTGTGTTGAAGTGGGAGGACTGCACTAACGTAAAATTTAGTAATCGTTTTACCTCATTCTACTTTAAAATAAATATGAATTCAAAAAGGATGTTTATGAAATCAAGTAAAATTAGTAGTTTTCTTTAATGGATCATATTCTGTAATTATAATTGAGTCCCCAAAAATAGTTGTGAAAAAATAAAATTTAAAAGAAAATTAAAAAATAACAACAACAATTTTTCTCAGTAACTATACGGTTTCCATTGTTATTTACTATCTGTGATGGCCCTTATGGCCCTCATTCATGAACTGTTAGAAACAAGCCCTGAAAGTTTCTTATCTCCTGGCTTCAGGAAGGGTTTTACTTTGAAATATCATGACCACAGAGGAACTTTTCTGTCAGAGAACGTAAAGACAAAGCAAAGAAGTTCTGCTAATTCCCACTTCCTGATTAGAAAAAAAAAGAATCTTTAAATGTAAAAATTCTGATTATTTTGAGATGGCACTGCAACAAAATATGAGACCACACAAGTTCAAACAAGAAAAATAATTTGTAATGGCATAAGCAAAGAAGGAGAATAGAACTTTTAGAATAGGATTTCAAGGACCAGTTTGAGATAAAAGGTTTTTAGATTCTGATTTTAATCCTAATTACCGATTTCATAGACACCAAATTGTTGAATTATAAACTTAATGTGCTACGTTAATTGGTGAGGGCCATTTGAAGGTTGGAAAGTTACTGTAAATATTCTCTATCCACAACCACTACCACTTTCATCATGGCACCCAGTGTGCGAATAGCTTTTTTTTTGCAGAGAAATGTTGACACTGTCCACTAAAATGTGTTTTCGTTCTCATTAGGACTGATTAATTAGGCTGGAATAAATTCACATAATTTTTTTCGTGGAAAAATATACAGCATATTATTGTTTTTGATGTTAATAAGCATGGAGAGGAATATTTGTGTGATAATGTTTTGTGACCTGTATATGATATTGTGTGTAATGATTATCTGCTGAATATTACAACTGTAAAAAGGACAGATAAACTTATATATTGTGAGTGAACTTGTCTGCCAATTTTATACAGTTTTTGATGCAAATTATATATATCTACTTATTGTATCAAACAGATAAATTGAGATGTACACATTATTTTGAGCCTTCCCTTCCTTACTTTTTTTCTTTTGCTTTAGAGTATAATTTAGAAGGGAGTCGTTATTACCACTGGATACCTGAGTGTATAGTACCTACTAAAGTTCCAGGCACAAGGACCAACTTGTGAATAATAAAGATAAGATCTCTGTTATCATATAACTTAGAGCCTCGTAGTAGGACAGATAATAAAGAAGTCTTATAGAGTGGGACAATTTCAGACAATGATAAGTACTATCAAGAAAATTAAGTAAGAAAATGTGATAGAGAGTAACTCCTTTAAAAGACTGGAGAAGGTCTTTTCCAGGAGGTGACTTTTGAGCTGAAATTTGAATAAGAAGAGAATCACTGTGCAAAGATTTGGGGAAGACACCCAGCCAGAGTGTATAATAAGTACAAAAGTCTTCTGGTTTGTATGTCAGAGAAACAGAAAACAACAGGGAGACTGGTGAGGCAGAGAACGGTATGAGATGAAATCAGGGAAGCAGGCAGATGACAGATATTATGGAGTCTCATAGGCTACAGGGAGGTGCTTAAACTTTCTTTCAAGTTTAAGTAGAAGCCATTAGAAAATTTTAAGCAAGGGAGTAACATGATTTGATTTATGTCTTTAAAAGATCACATTGCCTACTATGTAGAGAGTGGATTGTGAGAGAGAACATCAGAAACAGGGACACCACTGCAGTAATGCAGATGAGAGTTTGATGATATGCAGAGTGAACAGTTAGGGATGCTATTTATTAGAGAGTTCTCAGAGATTCTGAAGAAGACAAAATTCATACAAAGGGTGGAGAGAATGTTTTAAGTAATGTCCATGTGGGCAAAAACTTAGTCAAGAATGATACGAAATGGGGTTGGTGAGACCAAGGAGAGGAGGGAAGGGAACAGAAATGCTATTGGGCAGAGAAAGGCCCCAGGTGAGAGACACACTTTCTGCCTAAGAAGCAACTGTTAGCAGGTGACTTCTGTGGTAGGCCATGGATATGTGGGTAGGGCATCAATACCGTCATGAGGTACAAATGTGATGACTGTAAGTGGGAGCTTACGCACATGCACATGTGTACACTTACATGCATTCTTATATTGATATATGTTTTAGGCAAAAATATACATCTTGCTTTTAACTACCAGTCTAACTAGGTAGAAATAACGATAGTGAACGCTCAGCCCTGGAATATCAGAACTCCTTATTTTAGAGACGTACTTAAATTCCTCCAGGGAAATTTTATCT